ATTGTTAAGCGATGGCATCCACGAACTGTCCAAAAACTGGCAAGGATCTCTCAATAACATTGCTGTATAATTTTGATCTTGTACGCCTCTCTGTAAAAAGAAAGTCTAATTTGAAAAAATGTGACAGAACTTTCCCGCCAACCTAATAAAAACTGATCTCGCGACAAAAAGCCTCTCAGTTCTGGTGGGCGGGACAACTAGAGAGGCGTCAGATCTGCCGCTTATGAGAGCGCCTTTGTTACTTACTGCGAAGTCGTCAAAGTGGGAAAGTCTTTGAGGCTGAGGACCAGACTACTTGTACAAGGAAGAACGCTTTGATTGCTTTGGGTCTTCGAGTGCGTTTGAACGCCCTCTCCGAAGTAGTGAAATGGACTGTAGAGCGTGGATAGCTGTGCAATAAATTAAAAAAAACTAGTTTCAGCAGTCTTAGAAAAGGGTTGTAATCGAAATCTAACCCGATGCCAGAAGAATAGTCCAGCGGTCCCAGGACACGCCAGCGTCTAGCTTCTCATTCAGCCAACTATGAGCACGCTCCCTTCCGCACCTTCATAGACTCCCTCGCCTCATCGCGTTGAGGAATCCTTAGCATGTAGTGTGCGATTGGCTCTGATGATCTCAAAAAAGCTCACGCATAAGTAAGCGAGGCTTGATGATTAAAAGCAGTTTTGACTATCGGAAAAAGTCATGAGCGTAATAGCCCTCGGTCCCATAATTAAAATCTTCTACATTTTCAGGAACGGCTTCCTAGATCCGTGGTCAGGTGGCGGTTGGTCGCTGACTCCGAAAGTTGAAGGAACTCTTGTATCGGTGATTCTAAAGGAAGGAGCTCATCATTACGACCTTCGTGGAGCACATCCAGCCGACACTGAAGAGGTCAGTGTTTTTCGTTTGCTTTCACTCACCACTTGTTTACTTTTTCGAACCTCCGACGAGAGGACATCCCTGATATTGGTCGTTATTTTAAAGGTAGTTACCACCATCCGTCGTCCGTTTACTATTCACGAACATGAATGGGGTTGTCAACGCAGTTAGAGCTCGGCTCAACCAATTACAAAAAATTAATAAGCTCAGCGCATTGGCCCAGTCATGCGTTTCCATGTGTGGTACAGCGCTCTGAAATTCAGCGAATTCATAACCCAACGAATTTTGTCCTCATGACATTCTTTTCTGGTGCCCAACCACTTCAGCACATGGCTTTCCCTCGAATCGATGTAAACTTGCAAGGGCCTTTGTTCTGCGTTCATACTTTGCGACAGCGTCCACCAGCATTTCGAGCGTCCGGTACCGACTAGGAATGTATAGATATCTGTCTAGCAAATGGCAGCGTCATCCAGCGTCTCGAGGGATTAGGGAAGCATAGGCATCGATTGAGCGAACACCAGGTCAGGAGGACAG